GGTCCCCCAACGTTCTCTATGCTGATGACGGCTTATAAGCCGGAAATGGCCACTGCGGTCTCCCTTTGCTTTGTCGGATCCACTTCATATATATATTTATGAGAAGAAAGAGCGATCTCGGGAACCATAATTTTAATTTCCTGACGTTTCAAAAACAGACAAGTTTCTGTCGTCGGAGGTAAGTGTCGTAATGCGCCTCACAGTACTTATCTATTTATATATATTCACTCAGGAATGAGCGTTAGTCGATCCAATTGGCTTCCCAAACTTCTTTTGTGTTAAAGGGGTCAAGAACAGGCGACAATCTGTTAGAGCGAGATCGGCCAAGCTATAATAGCAGAGAGACATGAAAGTGTTTGCGGGTAACGCTATACAGAACTCTTTCGGACTTATTTGCCTTCATCCAGCCAAGCAGAACCCTGACCACCAGCTGAGACCGGAACGAAAAACGTGCGCAAACAGAGATAGCGCAAATGGTCCACTACTCGGTTCTACCAGGTTGGCCATAAGTAATTAGTCAAAGCAAAATTCTCCCTTATTTTTGTCGGTCGTATATTTGTGTCTATAATATGTTATTCGTTAAGCGGCTGTTGGCCGAGCTCGAGAGCAAGTCCTAAGGAATAACAGAGTGAGACAGTTCAGTACTGATCGGTGAGCAGCTGCCTAAACTTTTTTATATTCCCGATCGAAACTGGTAAGGCAGCAAGCCGGAGGCGCAGTGGTTAGAGAGTTACACTTCTGACTAACAAGGTTAGTGTCTCGAACCTCGGGGGCGGATACCCCTGGTGTTGGGCATGGCTATCTGATGATGGAAAACGAGCTAAGAATGACCATTCCAGCTTCCCTAGCCCTTGTCGGTACTCATTTGGCATATATGCATATTAAAAAAGCTTATAATCCTCAACTTGGAGGTATTAGTATCTCAAAACAAATTACATTCAAGTCTAATAGATCATGATTCGGAACCCGGTATTGACAAATTACTGAAGGAAAAATGCTAATTGTGATATAAAGAAGGGAAAAAATGATTTTCCACAATAAAAGCCACTTATATTCAGAAGAAAAGCGAAGCGTCCAAATGCGAGGACCACTACGTTTGACTTTTGTTGGTCAGAAAAATTTATTTAAATGCACCGGTTCGGGTGATATTCTTCCACCGAAGCAAGGCAAATAAATTTGCTTCATGTCGCAGAATATTTTTTAAACAACGGATTATGGCTTGAAGTTGACAAAATAACAAAATCACGCCGCTACGTTCTAGAGTACTGCCAGAAATTGGAACTTGGCATTGACTTTTGTACTATTATTAGCATTTCAGACGATTTCGTTTATGTCGACTACTGCAGCAATCACAGAGCTCACACCTTTTACCTGTCACATGACATAGAATTATTTAAAAAGGTTTAAAATCATTAAACCTAACCGAAGCTTAGGTGTGTGTTGGCTCAGCAGAATAACCACTCGCAAAAGAATAACTACACTCACGTCATCATAGCAGAAGGGCATAGAGCAAACCTGGCCATCAGGCCCCACTATTCCGAAACATTTCTCATCAAATTCTCCGGGCTGCATACAAATCTGAGGTGTCTCCGCAACCACATCTTCGTTAACTGTAAATGCATTTCCATTGTAAATTAACTCATCCGAGATTGCAGGATCTGACTTGTAGGAGAACTCGAGCAATTGTGGTTCCATCATAAACGAGTCTCCGGTAGCAGTTGCACAGGCCTGGCCGGGGTCAGCGTATATGTAATCACAACCAAGATGTTCAACAGGGACAATAGGAAGAGACTGGGGTGGCCTGACCATCGGGACTAAAGGGTGTACGGCACTTTCACTCAGGGTACCGCACTCAGCTGCCGACTTTTGGAGATTTCGCAACTGAAAGGGTATTTTTCGGATAACAGTAAATAATTCGCTAGCAGAAAAATAAACCTACATTTTAGACGCAATGCAATTAAAAAAAGAATGACACGTGCCTATGATGATCGTAGTTTAAAAAGCACCTATGGAACCCCTATCACAATTCATTTAAACTACCAAAGTGAAGCAAGGAACTGATCTAAGAGTTAATGGCTAACGTCCAAATGTATCATCTGGAAGGTATAATACTGATAGTATTACCACATAAATTAGGTATGAAGCAAGTCTGCTTCCCGAAAAAATTTGAAAAGTTAAAGCGGGCAGCTCAAGCATATAATTTAAAAGCAATACTTCGTTAGGAAAATAAGGAACATTAATAGGTAAATGTTCCCGAACATGTGCAAATAATAAATTATATGCAAAACATTACACAGACAGCTATACTGATAAGCCTTATTTATTTAACGTCCACCAGCTATAAATGGCATTACAAAGTGCTCTCACACATAGCATCTGGTAATTATAGGTAAACACTGGGTCACAGACTATATGATTGTTTGTGAGGAAGAACAAACGATTTCGCGTTTAATCAAATAACAGGATTTAAGCATAAGAATAGTTCCGGGCGAAAGTTAGTGAGATTTCCAAAAAGTGAATGCTGGCAAACATGTGCCAGAGCTCCTTAGTTGAAGGTGTATAGAGGGGTTATCTCTGAGGCAGTTTTAGGAAAACCGTGTTCTTAAAAATAATTATGATTAGAGTGTGCAGTTTGCCGTGAAATATCTGGTCGGAGCAGGCAAGTATTCTTAAAACGGATCTTCATAGTATTTTACGAAATTAAAAGCTGCAAAATATCTCGACATCCGTTTGCCATAACTTTTTTTGTAATTATTGTAATAACTAGCAAAAATGCAAACATGCTCTATTTAAAAATAGTCAAAAACAATGATTCATGCAGTATAAATTAATATCTTTCTCCCAAGCACTATACAGCTCATAAATTGCATTCAAAAATGAAGGTATCTTAATGTATACAATTTTCAATTAAAAGATGCTGCTGAACTACCGAGCTCTGGCGTATGTAGAGTACCAGTGTCTACATGTTTTAGTTTTAGGGAAAAATCGGTTTTAAATCAGGACATCAATTTATCCACTAAAAATGGATTCAGAGCTAGGAAGCTGACTTTTAATTGTGCAGCTAACTAACCAAATTCGGCCTCTTTATGCTTTTGTGATCATCGATGTTGGCTGGTAAATCCCCAAAAGCATGATGTTATCTTTTTTTAACAATTGAAGATGAAATGTTATGTGTAGTTTAAACGTACAGAGCTAACGGACAGGAGCTGTAAGATCCAGTTGTTTGCTTATATTTATACATTGGCTAGCTCTCCGTAAAAATGCCTTGTTTTCCAAGTCTTCAACACATTTCAACGAAAACCATTTTATGATAACTAGTGCAGCCTTTGATCTAAATTTCTGGCATGTCCTAGAGCTGAATGCGTGAGATCAAATGCCAATTCCTAAAAATGGACAAGGATAATATATTGCATTGCCTATATGTTTTGCTGAAGCTGATTTCATAAGCCTTTTATGAACAGCAAGTTGTATTTAAAGAATCCCCCTTTCCAAATTTCAAACACCACTACCGGTTCGAAACGCATTAACAAAGCACTGCTCAGGATCCCATTGTTGGTGGACATGTTATAACCAAAACACAATTCTTTTTTGAAATATTCCGACTTAGAACCTACGTACTTTGTCAACTGACTCGAGGATGTGGTCAAGACATCGGGCAAATTCAGCCAAAACCGCATGCTCCTTGGCAATACTGGACTCGTTCTTCTCCTCAGCCTCACAGAGCTGAGCCAACATGCATGAGCAAGAAACTTCGATTACTTCTGGTGTAATGCAAGCATTAAATAGGCTGCATATATTATTAACGAATAAGAACACCTTACGGTTGCATTGTGTTAAGTGAAGGCTGATCAGAGCTCGGCGGGTAGGACATGTTATAAGGCTGTTTGTTGCGTCCATCAAGCAAGACTTGCCTCAAGGAGCAGGCTTAAACATTATTACTGAATATTTCTTACTTTAACGCACCCTTTCGACCATTAGACTTGCCAAAGACGGCCGGGGGCATATTTTGTCTTGAAAATTCGTCAAAATTCCGACACCCTTGACATCTACAGAGATCTGAACAGCTGATTTTTGCCTAATGCATCATATAAATAAGTATTTTCATGCCTCGTAGCATTCACAATAATTCTTAAGACAATTTGAGCGTTTGCAATTACAACCCTTTGAATGCTTTCTTTCGGAAGATCCTAAAAAACTCGAAAAAATGAATACATTACCTATTTTCGGGTAGAATGCAAAAGGGTTTCTTTCCAAAGTCAACTTGATTGCCTTATTTCGCTCATTTTCAAAAAGGATATTGTTCATACAATTGGAACAATTGCAACCATTGCAGGCCTGTCCTCTCGCAAAACACTCACAATATAACTTCAAACAGTGTGATTTTGCACAATTACAAGCTTTTCGACCATTTTTATGTTGTTGTACTGATAAAGCTTGTTGTTGGTATAGGTCAACTTCACTAAATGTAGTGTCTTTTCCTGTGGAATCTAAATCAATCAACGCCTGTATAACGGCAGCCTGGGTTCGACAGTCAATCTGATAGGCTTTTGAGTCTTTCGAAAATGTTTGGGGATCTGAAGGACCTTCGCCAACTGGCAGTGCATTTTGGGCTTTGGACTGTTCCATATCTGCATCATCAACATACATTTTCAACAAATCGTTAAAGTCCGCTCCATAAGCAGTTAACGTGTTTAGTTATTTAAACAAGCAGTAGTTACAAGAGGTTCACTATCACTCAAGATAAAGGAAACAGATACTATGCCTATTAACCCAGACTATGTTTGAAAATATATGTTGGCTTAATAATGATAAAAAATGGCCGGGCTTTGAACGCACAGGCGGCGTCGTACGTTCAATGGGATCTTTGATTGTCTATGAAAACTAGTGGGACGAATGTATCAGCCATTCCCAACTTACGCCGAATAATCCCAATGTAGAAGAAACTTACATCAGGATTTAATAAAACTTATCAATTTTTACTTAATTTTAGTAGGTAAACTTTCGGGATTTGATAAGATGGGTATTACTGCGCCATTATTACCTCTAAATGACACGGGACAAGTATATCAATTTCCGGAAAGCTTGCTGTTAACAGAAAGATTCAGCAATGAAAAGAGAGAAGATTAATACTTAGAAGATAAAAAA